AGAGATGAAGTCTCGCCAAGTTGCCCAGGTGGGTCTCAAACCTGTGGGCTCAGGCAATCTACTCGCCTCGGCCTCCCAAAGTGCTGGGATTACAGACTGAGCCACCGAGCCCGGCTGATTTGGCGATCTTAATTCATGTCTGTATTCCCAGTATCTAGCCCAGGGCCTGGCAACAGAAAGCACTCAATAAGCACAAGGTTTGTCACTTCTGTTTCTCACTCTGAAATCCTCCGTCCCACCAAATTCACTCAGATTGTAACAAAGTGAAGGCAGAGATCTTTTTTTTTTTTTTTGAGTCAAAGTCTTACTCCGTCGCCCAGGCTAGAGTGGAGTGGCACAGTCACGGCCACCCCAGCATCGACCTGCTGGGCTCTGGCGACCCTTCTGCCTCAATCTTCAAAGTAGCCGGAACTATAAGAGCACACTACCACACCTGGCTAATTTCTTGACTTACTGTAGAGACAAGGTCTCGCCAAGTTGCCGGGGCTGGTCTCGAACCCTCAGGTTCAGGCAATCTATTCACCTCGGCCTCCCAGATTGCTGGGATTACAGGTTGAGTCACCGAGCCCGGCCTGAGGCAGAGATCTTAATTGGGACCTGATTCTACTACACATAACAAAACAGCCCCAAAAGAACATGATTTAAATAAGTTAAAAAACAAAAATCACACATTTCTCTCTCAAGTGAAAGAAATCCCAACTTAAGAAAGCCTGGGGTTGGTATGACCATGACAGAACCAATGGTAGCAACAAGGATTCAGGTTCCTATATTTCCTCCCTCAACCCTACACTTTGTCTTCCACTGTCAACTCATGGTTCCAGTCATTAAGTCTATGTTTCATAAACTATTGAGTGAAAGACACAGACATGGCCATTGTTCTGTTAAGCACTCGCTAGGTCATGTGCTCTCTGAGCTATGGCCGCCATGTTTTCTTAGTTTAAGACCCCCTACCTTGGGGAGGTCAATCTCCTCTCCTCTCTAATTTACTTTCTAAATAAACTATATTTTCCAATCTTAAAAAAAAAAAGGAAAGAGACAGCCACAAAAGGCTACATTCTATAGTATACTAGATTCATGATGTTCAAAAGGAGGGTAAACAAATCTGTTCCAAAGGGTGATTACTTTTAAGAGGAGTTATTGATGAAAAGGGGCTAAAAGGGAGACTTCTAGAGTATTAAAAGTTTTATATCATCATATGGGCAAAGGTAACATGATTGTTATACATGTGAAAAATTCATTGATATGTACACTTATGATCTGTACACTTTACTGTATGTATGATACTAAGAAAAGTCCTTCTAAGACCTCTGATAATACCTTTGTTTTGACAGGACTATGTACTCCAAAGAGATTGAAGAAACAAAGTATGCTAAACAAGTAGTGTTTAGTGTCCAGCTCTCATGTCCTACACTGCTGTCACCTTCCAAAGATTGAAAAGTAACCAAGTCATCCAGACTACCAGAATAGCTAAGGTTATGGTAACTGTTTTCTTTAAGAATATCTAGGTTCAAACCCCATCTTCACTTTACATTTAATGTTGTTTTAATATCTCTAAAATGGGTATAAAAATAACTACTTTATGTTTTCTGAAATCACAGAGTTCCACTGTGAGGATGGATGAGACAACGTATGTCAAATGGCTCATGCCTGTAATCCCAGCACTTTGGGAGGCCAAGGTGGGAGGACTGCTGGAGCACAGGAGTTCGAGACCAGCCTGAGCAACACAGTGAGACCTTGTCTCTACAAAAAATAAAATTAGCTGGGTGTGGTGGCATGCGCCTGTAGTCCCAGCTACCAGGGAGGGAGGCTGAGGTGGGAAGATCATTTGCGCCCAGGAGGTCGAGGTTGCAGTGAGCGGGGATCATGCCACTGCACTCCAGTCTGGGTGACAGAGTGAGCTTAATGATCTGGACTCAAACAAAATGAAACAAAACAAGTAAAAACTATATGTGTTCAAACACTATAAATATTAAGGTGTGCTCTACCACCTAAACTCAAAACCTAGGCAAAGAGAAACAGCTTTCTTGTTACCTCCCCGCGGGAGCGGCTTTTTCTAGTCCACATTTTCATGCATATAAAAATTTGCTTTACATGTGGAATAAATCAATCCATTTTTAAAAATGTATAAATATGAAATACTTACCCACTTAGCGATTGGACATCCATGAGAACTCTTCCCTTCTTTCCCGGTGTATACTACTATTTCTATCCTTATTGCATTTCCTTTTTGACCATACCTGAGTATAAAACACAGTGGAGGGAATGTACTAATGAATTGGAATCTATACTTAGGGGCTTCAGCTTTTAACCTCTTAATGCCCATAAGATATGAATGTACAGAAGTCCAAAAATCAAACACTCCTAATAACGTGTTTGTGCTAAGAGTTTGGTTTTGCACGGCAGACGTTATTTGTTATTCAGTTCTGTTTACTTATCCTTGAAGATCGCTCTAAAAATAGCCTGACTCCAAGACAAGCAATGAGAACGTAGGGAATGCAGTGTCAAGGGTGATAATTTGACCTATTTCTACAATTATACAATATATGAAGGTAAGTGTTTCTGAATTTATCAAAGACAATTAGCCTTGCTGTGTGAGTGTCCCGTTATGTGCCCAACAGCTCACGTAACGAGGAACTCAGTAGTGACGCTAGGACACCCCTCTTTTCCTGGGCCCTAAGAAGCACTCAACTCTTACTCCTGAGAGGAATCTGTATCTCGTGTTTGTTCTTAGACATCATTCATCTGCACTGAGTCAGGCCCCCAATAAGAATGGTTTGAACAGGGAAGCATGTTTCCTCACCTAGTCTCCATGATTTCTCTGACAGCAGCAACACTTGGTCCTGCCCCAAGGTGTGTATAATATGGGCCTTTGTCTTTTTGTAGAACTCGATCTGTGGAAGGAATAAGATTATTAGACCCAGAGCTTTATAGAATCGCACAGGGGCAAGGAGGGAGCTGTTTTTACTTTTTTTATTCCCCTTCAATTCATAACCATGAATCTTGACAAGGTGTTTGTATACTTTGGTAATGAAAGTCAAGGAATAGCCCATGGAATTTAACTCGCTAATGTTCTTTTCTTCCTGCTCCCAACTAATTATTTCTTCCTCTAAGAATCAGAGGAGAAAAAAGTATTTTGTGATGTGGGTCATATGAATACTCCCATCTCCTGTTTGAAAACAAAATCTGTAGTAATTGAGGTGCAAAATTAAGTCATTCAAGACCAATAAATCTTAAAAGCTTGACCTTAGTATCCTATTAAAATTGAGCTGAGCAATTTGACTGCTGAGAATTTATTCGGCTACATACTTGCGCAGTTTATATATGTATAATGTCAATGTACAAAAACTGTTCCTAGTTACAATTATTTTTAATGTCAAAAAGAGATAAATACTCTTAACATCTGTCAATAAGATGTAGGTTGAATAAATTATGGAATGTCTTTATAGTAGAATACAATAAAGCTATTAAAATATGACATTTACAAACATTTAAAAATTCATGGCTTACTTAATTTTAAAAAGCAAGTAGAAAAAATAGTATGTTCTAAAAGACACATTTTATAAAAATGGAATAGAAATTAAAGTTAGCAATGTTATTCCACATAGACAACTGTAACAGGGATGGTTTATCTTCAGAGAATGGGACCATGAGAAGACATTGATATCATATTTCTGTTCTGTTTGAATTTTTTATTTTTTCACTCAAGGTCTCAGTCTGTCATCCAGGCTGAAGTGAAGTGGCATGATTACAGTCCACCACAGCCTTGAACTCCTGGGCTCAGGCAATCCTTTTATCTCAGCTTCCCGAGTATCTAGGACTATAGGTGAGTGCCACCATGCCCGGCTAATTTTTAAATTTTTTTGTAGAGACAAGGTCGCAGTATATTGCGTGGGCTGTTCTTCAACTCCTGAACTTAAGCAATCCTCTTGCCTCAGCCTCCCAAAGTGTTGGGATTTACAGACATGAGCCACTGCGTTCAGCGAGTCTGAATTTTTGTGAACATAAATTAGATATTTCTATAATGTAAAAATATTTTCTACAATACTTCCATCTTGGCCTTGAGAGTCATGCATAACAAAAATCACTGGGGAGCTCTGCATCTAATGAATTTCTGGCCATGGTATATCATTAAATAATGACACCAAAGAGTCATTATTTAATCATTTTTATTGGACATCAAATACAATGAAGAATTATTTTGTGGCTTCATAAGCAAAGTACATCAAACAGATTTTAACTTATTACTAGTTATCTAGAGCAGTGGTTCAGAACCAGGAGCCATTTTGCTTCTAAGGGGACACTTGATAATACCTGGAAACATTTTTGGTTGTGGCAACCTGGCAGGTAGGTGTGCCTAGCATCTAGTGAGTAAAAGTCAGGGATGGTGCTAAACATCCCACAATGCACAGGACAGCTCCCCCACAAGAAATAATTATTAGGCATAAAATATCAATAGTACTAAGTTTGGGGACCCCTGACCTAGAAGTCAATCACTCTATTTTGCTAGAACCTAATACCACCATGAACATTCTCTGCCTTCAGATATAATGCTTCTAACTTGGAATGATTTCTGAGTGAGTCATTTTTTTGGTTTCTATCTTTAAGTTCTCTTTTCTGCACAATGAGCACAACAAACTCACGTGTAATGATTCACAAAGACAACGTAACAGTGTATAATACAACTCTTGAGTCCATGACAGGTACTCAGTCAGCTTTAATGCCTGGCTGTCTTTACTCTCATACACTGGGACCAGCTATATTGTATCAGAGAAGGGTTTAGAAGCTAGAAAATCACCCTTTTAGAACCATGTACATAGTAAAAGGAGACTAGTTCAGGCATATGCCTTTTTAAATTTAAATTTAAATTTTGAGTGGGAGTCTCACTCTGTCACCCAGACTGGAGTGCAGTGGCATGCTCTTGGCCACTGCAGCCTCGACCTGCTGGGTTCAGGTGATCCTTCTGCTTCAGCCTTACAAATAGCTGGAACTAGAGATACACACCACTACACCCAGTTAATTTTGTTTTTGTTTTTTATTGTAGAGACAAGGTCTCACCAAGTTGCCAAGGCTGGTCTCAAACCCCTGCACTCAGGCAATCCTCTCACCTTCGCCTCCCAAAGTGCTGGGGTATCAGGCATGAGTCATTGTTCCTGGTGATATATAAATTTTTGTGGCATTTATTTGTTGAATTAGAGAGTTTTTTTCCATTTATGCTGATATCAGAAAAATGTTCTCCCTTTTACACTTCAGATGTTTGAAGCAACAGAAGATGGTATAGGCTCTGGAGTTGAGACTGCCTGTCCCTCAAACACACTTCAGTCACTTAATAGCTGTGAAGTTCTCTATGCCTTGGTTTCTTCATTTGTAAAGTGGGGATAAGAAGCCCTCCTTCTGTAGACTTGTGAATATAACAAGTCAAGGGCATGGCACAATATGAAGATTCGCAGTAAGAGCTCCAGAATAGGCATCATTATCATTATCACGCTCTTCTCTGCTAGGTCCAAGAACCTCTTATTCTCCCAATTCAACCCCACTTAGACACCAGTCTCACTCTTTCCAGACTGTAAGAGTCTTCCCAGAGGAGCCTATCCTTGGTGATTGACACATGACAGTTTGTCAAAACTGTGTTGAATGATGAGCAGAGAAATGGAAAGATATTATTTCTGTGAATCAAGTGTACTTTGGATAACCAAGGACTAAGTCAGCACTATACTATTTTTCCACTGTGATTAAAAATTAGAATGATAACTTATTCTTCTCCACAATCCTTTACTCATTCTGGAATGTACTAATGAACCACCTGCTTCTACTAAAAAATCTATTTTTGTTCAGGGTAAATCTTGAGTCTTTGCGAGACTTTCAAGAGAACTAAACCTATTTGGATGGGGTTCAAACAGGTTATTTCACAAGTCCTATTCTATCATAGTTGTATAATAGATAAATGGGGACTCAAGCATATTAACAGACTGTAATGATACAATCTATTTAATTTCCCCATTTTTTACAATAATATGAATCAACAGGTTTATTATATTTGGGTGCTTATGTAAAATTTGAACACAGACCATAACTAATCAGCACAGGATTCAAATTAAGCATTCACATTTCAAAGATAGACCAAATTTCTCATAAAGTCTACCTGAAAATCTTTACCCCAGCAAGAGTTTTGCATGACTTTTAACACACAGATAAATTTGTTAGTTTCTGAAAATTCACTTTCAATGATTCCTAAGGCACAAAATGTATAACACATTGGTTAGAAATCAATCCATAACTCAGGTATTAGCATAAAGCTATTTGTTGCTTTTTTTGAAATGGGAAAACAATTTTTCTTGAACAAATTTTTACTGCTCTCCAGTAACTGGTTATAACATCCCAATATTACTACTTCTTGGTGGCAACTCACGCAAATTATTGGAACCACTGTCAAATTCTACCTCGAGCAACATTTTTATTGGTATCGACTTTGCTTCTGGCATAAAGAGATACTGAAATTTGTTAAAATATATTAAAACTCAAAAAGGTTTATAAATCCTTCAAGTGGCCAAGATTATGTTATTTCTTTCTTTTTCTTTTTCTTTTTTGAGTTAGAGTCTTACTCTGTCACCTAGGCTGGAGTGCAGTGGCACTCTCACAGCCACTGCAGCCTTGACCTGCTGGGTTCAGCCGATCCTTCTGCCTTCAGTCTTCCAAGTAGCGGAATTACAGGTGTCACCACCACTCCCAGCTAATTTTTTGATTTATTGTAGAGATGAGGCCTCACCAAGTTGCCCAGGGTGGTCTCAGACTTGTGGGCTCAGGCAATCCTCTCACCTCGGCCTCCCAAAGTGCTGGGATTAAAGGCTTGAGCCACCACGCCCAGCCTATGTTATTTCTTTATGTAGGGTTACACCCTCTGAATTACACAGAGTACTAGACGCTGGAAAAGATATAAACTAGTTTTAGTTCTAGATTAGGATGGCTGCTGCCACCTATACTTCATATTCTATTTCACACACAAAAATTATTGAAGGCTTGAAGGTTGAAATTATTTGGATTCAAGGAAGAACAACCCAACTATAATAAAGTATTCAGGAAGTTCACTCTCATGTTATGCACGGTAAACAACTCAAGAGACATTTGTCTTGAGAGAAATCAGCATATTTTCTATTTGAGAAAGGTTACTTTTGTTTTTCCAAATCATTAGTTGAACCAATAAAAATCCTGAAAAATGGTTATAGAATTACTTAATACATCTCAGTTGAATAGGAATGGGGCAAAAAACACCACACAAAAAAGATGAATTGGAATTTGCTTCTGTCATGACTTGGGGCAATGTACGCAGGGGTGAGAAGAACACATCCACACAAGCACTTACCAAGACAGTTGCAGGTGGGCAGTTCAGAATCTTTAGTTATAGACACCAGGTTTTTTGTAGGATTAGTAAAGAAGTTCATGGCATAATCACTAAAACTTTTCTGTGCACTGTCTCCTGAGGAAAGTTCTGATGGTCCAATGGTAGATGAACAGATTTCCTCCTCACTTTTGTTAGAGACCACTGTAATTCCACCTGAACACATTACATTTACATTCCTGAGAATTTGTGCTGGGTCCGGTAAGGGTGTCTCAAGGGAGACGGCAGGAAATGTTGGCAATCTCTGATGCGTGAGTTGCTCCTTAACTTCCTGTTGAAACTGTGTTTGGTCATCACCTGCCATCACATTAGCACACTGGTTAGGTGGAGAGGAGGGCTGGGTCGAAGGGTGAGCTTTCTGATTGACATTCACTGTTGACTGTACCTGAGAATTATAAGCTTTATCTGTAAACGCCTGCCCGTTGGCTTCTGCTTTAAAATGAAATAACGTGAGAGCACCCAGTGGTTCAACCTTCATCACTTTTTCTTGTGCTATTTCAGGGTATCTCTCGAATTTTATTTGAGTGAGTGGAGGAAATAATTTTTTGGGTTGTATGGTTGAACTTGTTTGAGAAAGTGGTTTCCATATTTTGGTTACGGGAGGAATTTTACCTAAAAGAATAGGGAAATCATGTGGACCAAACTGCCCAAATCTTTGAAATTTGGATGCTATCCAAATGTCATGTAACTTACTATATTTATGAGACAACTCTTCCTGCTTCTGCTGATCACTTTCTTGAGAACTTACAACTGTGGGCTTCTTTTTCCGCCTATCTCTTGATGGGGTAGATTTTGTCTTTTTCTGGGTTGTGTTTTTTTGCTTTGTTGATGATGAGCCATAATTATTTTGTACACTTGAGGCTGGTTTCTGTTGTATATTACCTTTCTCTTTACTGTATTTTTGCTGTACATTACATGCAACAAGGCTTGTTGGTGTACTTTCAACATTTTTGTCCTCTGGTTTTATGTAATTGAATTTAATTATCGATGCAAGTTGTGTTAGTTGTGTTGCAACATCTTCCTCAATTTGAGTATGGGCTGCATCCTGACATGATGAATCATCTGATTCTAAATTTTTACTGCTGTCCAGTAACTGGTTACAATATCCCAATTTACTACTTCTTGGTGGCAGCTGATGCAAGTTCTTGGAACAACTGTCAAGAGTAATTCTACCTTGAGCAATACTTTTATTGGTATCAATTTTGGATGAATTTGATTTTGGTATTAAAAGAGATACTGAATTTGTGACTTTTGAATATTCATGTGACTTTGTGGATACTTGGTTAGTAGCTGTGCTGATATGTGACTTTGAAAGGGTATTTTGGCCATTAAATATCACTGTGTTGCATGAACTTTGCTTTTCCAAAGACGTATGGTGATGAAGGTTTGGTGGCTCTCCTTGTAAGTTTGGATCCTGAAGGTCTTTTCTTACAGAATAGAGGATAGCTTTGCAGCTATTAAGCAAACTGGCTGTTCTTTGCTCTGATTCTTCATCTTTCTCTGACTTTGATGGTGAGGAGTTCTCTGATGGGGCTTCTGAGAGTTGAGTCAGGGCTTCTATGGCTACCACTTGCTCCAGTGTTAATCTCCTATCTTTCATGAGGGATAAAAGACTTGGTTGAACTGGAGACCCATCTTTTGGTTCTTTACTTGGTATGTTCTCAGGAGTTTTTGGTTGATCAACTTCACTGTGTATACTAGTATGACTCTTTAGGTTGAAGTTTGAAGAATCTGGAATGGAACTGCAGTTAAAGCCAGGCTTCTGGAAAACTAAAATATTACTCCTCCCCTTGAGATGATCACCACTCGCACTAGTAGCAATGGAACTCATGGCATTGTTATGGTTTGCAGTATCTTTTAGGAATTTATAAGAGTTATTTTCGAATGTCTTGCCAAATTCTTCAATATTAATTTTTTTAAATGACACATTTGTTTCAGTTGGTAAATATTGTATATTTTTAATTCCATTTCTTACAGTTTGTACGAACAATTTTGGAGGTTTGGTTTGTTTCTTGTCAATTTCAGAGTTTTTTGATTTTTCAGCTTCTGGGACATTAGCACTGAAATCTCCTTTGACATGATCTGTTAAATGTGATTTCTTGTTTTGTGTCCACTTCTCCACCTCAATGCCCGTCATGCTTTCTTCATTTTTAGTTACATTTTCAAGGGGATTTGTGTTCAATTCCAATCTTTGTTCTTCCCCATGACCACATCTACTGTAGTCCATGGATTCTGACTTGAGGCCATTTACTGGTTTGTTGTCAAAATCTGCCTGTAAAATAAATACAGGAGCTATTCAAATTATTTATTTAAATATTTGAGTAAGAGATGTAGATTTTTACAATTTAATAACAACTAAATGCGAAACCCCTGTGAATACAGCCTAAGATAATATTATTTTTGCTTTTTACATGTTCAGAGAAGTCACACAAAACCAAAAAAGTGCATTAAAGGAAAAAGAAAAGAAAAACTAGAAACTGTCGATCTTATACTTGTTAATATTTTGGTATGTTCATTTGCTCTTCCAAATAAATTTTGTTTTAAAATGTTGACATTGGCCGGCCTATACTCCCAGCACTTTGGGAGGCCGAGGTGAGAGGATTTCCTGAGCCCACAGATTCGAGACTAGACTGGGCAACTTGGCAAGACCTCATCTCTACAATAGGTCAACAAATTAGTTGGGCTTGGTGGCGAATGCCTGTAGTTCCAGCTACTTGGAAGGCTGAGGCAGAAGGATGGCCTGAGCCCAGCAGGTCAAGGCTGCAGTGGCCATGAGCGTGCTACTGCACTCCAGCCTGGGCAAGAGTGAGACTCCGACTCAAAAGAAAAGTTTCCATTGGTAGCATCCACTTGGTAATATCCGTCATTTTAATACAAACTATATTCAAGTAGAACATATAAACAGAAAAGTGTACAAATCATAAGGATAGATTGGTGAATTTTCACAAAGTGAACACCTATGCAACCAGATACCAAATGTGAAACACCTGTCTTGTCATCATTCAACCTCCAAGAGGTAACCACTGTCTTGAGCTCTAACATCATAAATTTCCTTTTTGCTTATTTAAAAACTTTACAAAATTGTTTTTCACTCAAAATTAGATTGATGAGATACATCAATATTGTTAATATATGTGTAGTCTACAAATTCTTATAGTTGTATAGCAAATTCATTGATTGACTATATAATATAGTTGTCTATGCTACAAGACAAAGAAATTTAAATTATTTTAAGTTTGTAGCTAATTAAATATACTGATATTAACATTCTAACGTTATCTTTGAGTGAAATACTTATGCAATGAGTGGTGTGAAAGTGCTGATTGACAGTGTGTGTATTTTCGGCTTTAATAGAGAGGCCAAATAATTTTCTAAAGTGATCATCAATATATATTCTGAGCAGTTATTATGATAATTCCAGTTATTCCATATTCTCATTAACAATGAACAATCTTCTGTCTTTTCACTTTAGTCATTCCAGTGAATAGAGAGGGATATAATCCCCCTTTTTTTTTTATTGACATGAAATTTACATGACATGAAATCCATTATTTTATAGTTTTAGAGCACACAATTCAGGGGTATTTAGTTTATTTGGAATGTTGTACAATCATACTCATGATCTAACTCCAGAATATTTTATTTTATTTTATTTATTTATTGAGTTGGAGTCTCACTCTGTTGTCCAGGCTGGAGTGCAGTGGCACGCTCCCTGCCATCTCAGCCTTGACCTGCTGGGCTCAGGTGATCCTTACACCTCAGCCTTCCAAGTAGTTAGAACTACAGGCACACACTACCACACCCAGCTAAGTTTTTCATTTATTGTAGAGGTGAAGTCTCACCAAATTGCCCCGGCTGGTCTCCAATCCCTGAGCTCAGGCAATCCTCTTGCCTCGGCCTCCCAAAGTGCTGGGATTACAGGTTTGAGTCACTGAGCCCAGCCTCAGAACATTTTCAAAACTCCAAAAAGAAACTCTGTATCCATTAAGAAGTCTCTCTCTATTTCCCCGTCTAATTCTTATTTATCTATTTTTTATTTATTTTTTATAGATGGAGGTATCATTATGTTGCCCAGGCTAGCCTCAAACTCCTGGGCTCAAGTGATCCTTCTACCTCAGAGCCTCCCAAGTAGCTGGGACTACAGGTTTAATCCTTATTTTGCAAAACCTTGAAACAATGCATCAAACATTATACCACAGGAACAAATACATTAGAGGTATGTCCACTAATATTATTTTTTTGATTTGTTGTTTTGATTTTTTGTTTTGATTTTTTGTAGAGACAAGGTCTTGCTATGTTGTCCAGGCTGGTCTTGAATTCCTGGAATCAAGCAATCCACGCACTTCAACTGGGAATTCAGGTGAGAGCTACTGCGACTGGCTCCATTGATATTAAGAATAAAGAACAATAATTCCCACTCTACAGTGTATACATATCTCAAAACGTGCTGTACATGATAAATATATACAGTTTTATTTCTCAATTTAAAAAATGAATACATTTTAAAAAAGAATAACCTCTCTACCGCTAATATTTAACATGACTCTGGAGGTGCTAGTCAAAAGGAAAAAGTTGTGGCTCAGCCTGTAATCCGTGCCTTTGGAAGGCTGAGGTGAGTGGATTGCCTGAGCCCGCGGGCTCGAGACCCGCCTGGGCAACTTGGCGAGACCTCATCTCTACAATAAATCAAAAATTAGCCGGGTGTGGTAGCGTGTGCCTGTAGTTCCAGCTACTCGGAAGGCTGAGGCGGAAAGATCCCTGGAGCCCAGCGGGTCGAGGCTGCGGTGGCCGGGAGCGGCTGCTACACTCCAGTCTAGGTGACAGAGTGAGACTTCAACTCAAAAAAAAACAAAACAAAACAACAAAAAAAGGATACTTGTTATTGAATAAAGATAATTTAACTGATTCCATAGAAAACCCAGTAGTACTGACTTTAAAAAAATGAACCAAAGCCCAAAAAGGCAATAGTTACATTCAAAATATAGAGGGGAGGGGGGGATGGGATTAGCCGTTGAGAGAAACTGCTAGAGGAAGGAGGGGCACACCTCATCAACAAGGGTACATGCACAATCAATGTTTGTATACCTAACCCTGAATTGTACCCCATATCTTTATAATAAATAAATAAATAAATAATAAAGAGAAACATGCTAAAATCTATCTATCTATCTATATATACATATAGAAAGAGAGAGAGAGAAGAGCTGGAGCCAGAGCCTGACATGGTGGTGAGTGTTTGTAGCCCAAGTTACTCAGTGGAGTGATATGAGAGGATCATCTGAGCCCAGAAGTTCAAGATCATCCTGGGTAACATAGCCAAGATCCTTGTCTATATATTTAAATACATACACACACATTAAAAATGTGAACATTATTCAATTGCATAATTAAACATACTAAAATCCTAGTAAAATAACTTGGTTCAAGAACCACCTGGACAACTTGGCGAGACTTCATCTCTACAATAAATAAAAAACTAGCCGGGCTTGGTACATGTGCCTGTAGTTCCAGCTACTTGGAAGGCTGAGGCGGAAGGATCGCCAGCCAGAACCCAGCAAGTCGAGGTTGCGGTGGCTGGCAGTGGCCACGCACTCCAGTCTGGG